GACTACAGTGCTTGTGTTCGCCTTCATTCGGTGTTTTCCCGAGGGTCCAGGACCAGTGGCCACTCCCCAAACGTATGCACCGCAAACATTCATGGTCATGGAAATGGATGGCATGGCATTTTGGATCCCCATGTGACCATTACACCAAACAGGTGGTGCCATCCACGCATCCATGATGATGAACAGAGGAGTGGTAATTACGATGGTGGTGGCCTCAGTGCGAAGCTCGTACCCCGAACATCAGGGGCTTGAGATGTTGAGTGTACATCCCAACCACTCCATGTATGGTACATATATATGCCTACATTGACCCCGACTTCAACCACCCCAATGTATATATATATATACCATACATGGAGTGTCTGGGCATGGCCCAAAAGAACACCCGTTTTACGAACTCACGGTCTTCGGGACCCTGAGATCCTTCAGTCCGTGTCTTCCCCGGTCAACCGTGTCGACCGTCCCAGGGCATCCGGTCTCCACCACGGCCAACCAGTCAACCGAGGAGTCTGGCCGTGGCCGGGTCGGACATGCCTATCATGGTGTCTCACTGAAGACGATTAGTGTCGGCCATGCAACTGGAGACCCTAGGATGGCAACAGAATCCTTCTTTTGCATCGGATGGCAAGCCTTCCCGACCCGACACGTGAACCTTGAAAGCAAAGCCATGGCCGAAACCCTGCGAAGACTTTCTGCCCGAGAAGAAGCTCGATCTGGCTGAGAGGCGACTCACTTTCATACCGCAGGACCCCAAACCCTCCAAGTCGCACACACCACACCCTAGTAGACACGGGGCCCCACATGGCCCATCCAAAACCTGGTTTTACCTAGCAAAAAACCTGGTTTTTGTACATGAAAACCTTTGTTTTTCATGGGAAATTGGTTCGGGCCCCTGGTAGACACTCATACGTTCAGGACCCCAAACATCCCAAAACACCTCAAGCCAAGCTCATCGGCCGAAGATCAACTACCGCGCCTGCCACATCGGCGGTCCCTCAGTGGCGGCCATCGGTCCAGCGCAAAGGACGGAGAAAAGGACAGCGCAACGCGAGGTGTTTGGTGGACCACTTTGGATCTCCAAACAGGTTGATGGACCATGTCTGCTAGTCCCTCCTGTTCATGTTCAGCAAGGCGGTCTTGACTCATAGCAAAGAAAGGCCAGTGGCAGCTTGACTATGACTCCCTGGGAATCATGGATATGGATCTATCCCCCATCAGAAGCTCTTCTCTCAAATCGTGTGAGAGCTGAGCCGGGTCCGAACTGGGATTGGCTTCTCACCGTCTTGGATGGGCGTCCCAATTCTGGAGACGTATGGAAACTGCTCCTGCCAACGACTTTGGTTGCCCTGATACAATGTCCTTTCCCATCTCTCGCCTCACAAAGAACTCCCCCTTTGATGTGAGCCTTGCAATGCTGGCTACAAGAAAGAGCCTTGCAGCCCCTTTTTTTTGGCCGCAGCTTCTGGAGGAGGGTCAAACACGAATTGCTTCCGGACACCAGGGAATTCATGGGACTTTTGTTTTTCCACCGGAAGTGCTACAAACAACAAATACCTCAAAGTGCTTAATTGATTGTTGCTAAAGCAGGCACCATCCGCTTAGATGCTTTTTGGCACCTCAAGCCCTTCTTTCAACCAAGAAATGCCAAGAAACCATGGGCTGCATCTGCATCTGCTGCATTTGCATCTGCCTGGGCACAGCCAAAGGTTCGTTCACTCCTCTGACATGTGCGTCTGACATAGGTTCACCGGTTTCCCTTGAAACAAAGGCTTCACTTCTTCCGGAACCGGTCTTGCTTCGTTGGGAAACCAATTCCAAAAGCTCTGAGGTGATGCACTTCCACCACTTCTCACTGGTTGATCAAGTGGAAACGGAGCGCCCATCGAACGGAATGACGGAACGGTGCTCCGTTGAACCACCCCAATCCAACGAACGGAACCGCCGGTAAGTCGGTGCGGTGCGGAACGATGCGGAACGGTGGCCCGGTCCAACGACGAAAAGCCCATATGGCGCATCTTCACCAACCAGACCATTCTGCGATAAACATAGCCTGAAGATGCTGTTTTTAGCTATGGAGCTAAACCCACCGAGCTGTGGCATATGAATCCATACATTGGGGTGGTTGAAGTCGGGGTCGATGTAGGCATGCACACCATACATGGAGTGTCTGGGTTGGGTGATTGATTTCAGGTGTCTTTCTGGGGCGGCAGTACACTTCCAGTCCCAAGACTCCCTTTGGCGGACCCTCTTCCAGCCGCCAAGAAGGCAATGTTACAAGACTCTCTCTCCAACAGATCAAAATGCCAGTTTCTGTTCCAGAACATCTACCTGTGAACAGGTAAAGGTTCTGTCTGTCAAAGGTCAGGACATCTTGCCTTGTCCGATTCAGAATGCAATTTCTTGGTCAAACATCTGAATCTCTGAAGGCAGAAATTCCACACACCGCCCGTGAACAGATTGGGCGCCGAAATCGATCGTCTGGCGCCCTATAAGAGGAGAAGACGTCTCAATTGGATGCTGAGGATCTTGGTCTTACCCCGTGGAAAAACACAACATGGATCCTGAAAACCACGTCGGGTTGTAAAGGAAAAGTCGTCTTCCTTGCAGGTCCATGTACGACTAGTGACTAGTCCAAGTGAATCCCTCTTCGGGATGAGAAGCCATGTTCCCGTATACCAAGGGTGATCTAGGTGTCCGTGTGAGTTTTCGGGAGAGTAAAATCTTCTACAACTCGAAAAACCGTGGCGTAGAACATCGAAAGACCACGTGAGATCTCCAAACCCGTGGCCAAGCAAGGGAGGCTGAGGAGGCGAATTCAGAGTGGCAGGTCCAAACTCATCGGGAGAAGCCTCCTCACAACCCCCAAAGACCCCAATCCCAAACGTGACCAACCTCATGGGACTGCAGTGGCCGTCCCATGACGTGGTGGTGAATCTAGCTTTGGCGCCAGCCATTCGCGTTTAGGAATGGTAAAGGAAACAACACACAATAAACAGTGGAACCATGAACCTAGTAACGTTACTAGTAGCGATGCACTTGTTACTAGTAGTCATGAGCCCATACATATTGTTCGACCCCATCACCGATGATTTCTCATGAGTACAAAAGGTTGATGAAGTCGTATTTTTTCCCCAAACACTGGAAGGAAGGAAGCGTCGACCCAAAAAATTGGAAGGACAATGTGGAGATATTGTTTTGATATCCGTTACAGGTGGCCAAAGGTCCTGCCTGAAATTGCCCACGGTTTTTCTTGTTTAAGAAACACAGTACTCAATCAGTTTCTGGAGCTCTGCTGTGGCAGAGACCATTGTCGTCTTGCCAACCCAGAAAACCTGAAAAGCGAACACATGGAATTTTATCATAGGGGGAGGAATTGATCTCCATATGGCCATAAACAAAATGTTTCAGGTAAAGGAAACAAGATGGAACCCACGAACCCGAATGCAAACACGTACTCGAAAACGCGCACCCAAACAATTTTTGACACTCTTGTAGGAGATACTTTTGTGGGACACTCTTGTAGGACACATTCTTTTCGGAAACCTTTGTGGGAAAATCTTGCGCACTCTTGTGGGACACCTTGTATGACACTCACTCTTGTGGGACACTCTTGCGGAACACTCTTGTAGGACACTCTTGTGGGACACTCTTGTTTGTCACTCCTGTGGGACACTCTTGTAGGACACTTTGTCGGACACTCTTGTGGGGCACTCTTGCGGAACACTCTTCAACACGCTTATATTATGACACTCTTGTGGGATGCTCTTGCGGAACACTCTTGTAGGACACTCCTGTGGGACATCCTTGCAGGACACTCTTGTGGGACACTCTTGTAGGACACTTTTGTGAGTCACTCTTGTAGGACACTCTTGTCGGACATTCTTGTGACACTCTCGCGGGACACTCTTGTGGGACACTCTTGTGGGACACTCTTGTAGGACTCTGGTCGGACACTCTTGTGGGACTCTTGTAGGACACTCTGCGGGACACTCGTGGGGGGCTACCGTGCAGGGAAACGGCGGGACAATTGTGGACAAAGGTGTAGACCGTTTCATGCTTGGCAAGCTGGAAGTACTCGGATTTCGGGTAGTCCATCTTGAGGAGCAGAAAAAGCGATCGCCGACAGGGCAACTTGCCGAACGCAAACTGAGGGTTGCGTTCCAGGATGTTGGGACTTATGATCGCGCGGTTGTCTGGTCCGCTGGTCCGCCGGTCCGCCGGTCGGCTGGTCCGCTGGTCCGCTGGTCCGCTGGTCCGTTGGTCCACTGGTCCGCTGGTCCGCCAGCCTGCTGGTTCGCCAGCCTGCTGGTCCGCTGGTCCGCTGGTCCGCCGGTCCGCTGGTCCGCCGGTTCGCCGGTCCGCCGGTCCGCTGGTCCGCCGGTCCGCTGGTCCGCCGGTCCGCTGGTCCGCTGGTCCGCGGTCCGCTGCTCCCCTCCTCTCATGGATGCGCTCGTCCAGTGGTCCGGTCTGCGGTTCCAGTGGTCTATAAACTGGACATGGAAAGATTTTTTTGTTCTTCAGACAGCAACGTTAGGCAGCGTCTGACAATCAACCTCGTTGGACCTGCCCTGCAAGGGTGATGCGGCGGAACGGAAGCGCCTCACCTATACCTGGGGCTTGAAGCCGAAAATCAGTAACAGAAGTCACCCTCATTGAACTGAAGTGATCATGCTTTGGAATGCCCACCAGAGTCTCTGATGTACACCGTACACCCTGCTTTTTCCAAACTTCAACGCCCCCAGCCCTGGCCACCGCTCCTGCTAGTCTTGCACCACAGTGCTGTTGTGGCTGACAGGTCTGCAATTAAGGGAGACAAGTTCAGATCTAGATTGTCATGACCAAATTCTGGGAAGGGCTCGGCGGGTGGAATACCTACGGGTGGATTGGTTTCACGCAGGTTCTGCAGGACCCACTTGCCTGCCTGCACCTGAACAACCAAACACCTGCGGATGAGCTCTTTTCACACTTCCTTAGCGACTGTTGTATATCTCCACAACGGCTCACTCCTCATCTCTGGGCCGTTTGCGCCGATCTTCCTGGCGCTTCCTTTCCTGGTTGCTGGATACTTTCTCCATGGCGACCACCAGCTCCCGCAAAGTCAGCCCACAAGCCCTCATCAATTCATTGTGGTACTTCACCTTGCCCTGCGCTGTGTCTGGGATCACTTTCAAACACAAAGTCTCACCCTGGAGCTGAAGGATGCTGGAATGCTGCTCTGCGGCTGCCGCCATGACCGCTGTCCATTTCTCTTTCGGAAGCGCTTTGCGGCGGCCCTGTTCCCTGCTGGTGCGCATTTTGTCACACGCTTCTTTGCGAGTCATCTTTGGCTTGCCGGTCAGCAAGGTGTGCTTCAGGATTGCCCGGTCTGTCCAGTGACGGCTGAAGAGACCGTCAGGCTGGACTGTGACGCCATTCTCGCCAAAACCAAAATCACTTGCCCGCACTTCATCAAGAACCAGCGGCTTTTCGCCTGGGGGTGGGTCTTGGGGCGGTAGGTCCTCCACGACTTCGGCCACGCTGTCTGGGGCCCTTCAAGCAAGTTGGGCCCAGGTTCCGCATCTTCTTCTTCAGGTTCAAGTTCAAATTCTTCTTCCTCGCCAGCTTGGGGAAGTCGAAGTCCGGGACCATGCTGGGTCGAAGCAAAATCTTCCGTCTGATAAGGAACACGCAAAGTTGCCAAATCGAAAGCAGGTTGCGGACTTGGCTGCTGGGGAAAATGGTCTGGGCTAGCGGCTGCATCTCCCAAAGCAATATGCTTCAGCTTCTGGACCTGAATTCGCGAATATAGCGCCAACCACAGATCTTGGGTTTTTGAAAATAAACAAACAAGAAACAAAGTGCCAAGAAACCAATTGGAGCAGAGCATAGGCCCTTTGGCAATGATCTGGAGTGACCTGCAATCCCTCCGTCCAAGAGCTTCAACACTGTGCGCGCCCACAAAGATTTCAAACACCAGGAGCAAAGCTGCCAAAACTCCCACTTGCCACGGAGCGGCTCCAAAGCGAGCGCCACCCTGAACATCCCCTGATTCGCGAGACAGATGGGCTTGCGCATTTATTCCACCTTGGTAGGACATGTGCCAAGACTCCGCCTCCGGAGTGAGGGCAATGACTTGGTGAGGTTGGTCGAAGTAGGCACTGACTCGGGAGACAGCGGCCGTGAGGGAGCACTCTGCTGGAATGGCAAAGCTTCTGTTGGCAACGCGCCGCTGAGCTTCAAACCCAGACGTCGACGCAGGAGAACGTTTGAACCGTAGGCGGCTCATCTTGCCATCCAAGAGCCTCACAGGGTACCCATCTTCTGATGGGACATAGTCGCCCGCTGCATTCTGGGTGAGGTGCACTGCTTTTTCATCTTCAAGGCCAACGTCTTTCCACTCCTGAGCAGCAGCATCTGGCGAAGCAGCCTCTTTGGCTATGCCCAGCAGTTCCGCAATTTCGGCTGTGAGAGGAACCCATCGGTGCCGGGAAACTCCTGCGCAAAGCAAATCCAGCAAAGAATGTGAGCAGATTTTACAGAATCTAAAACGCTTTAACACAACACCCATCGCGCAGAACACCTGTCCTAGAGGGCAACAGAAATCTGCCGGCATGTCTTCATGCGGCTGCACAGGGCGGCCAGTGGAGATGACAAACCGTTCTTTGGTGGAAGCTGCATGGCAACCAACCTCACCTCTTTCCATAGGGATGTGTTGCGCAGGGCGCATATCGCAAGTGATCCCCATGCTAACGGTTCTAGCAAGCGTCTCTCCATAGCTCTCATTCGTTTTCGTGGCGCAAGCTCTGGTTCCAAACTGCAAGAGCTTGTTGAAGGCACTCTGGTACGGGTTCACCCTTGCCTTGGCTTTCTCCTTGGACGCAGGCCCATCGGACAAGAGACCCAAGCTGAGCAGGAAGTCGTAGGCCTCATCAAAATTCCCCAGCAAGCCAAACCAGCATCGGCCAGACCAGTCTCCGGGCAACTTGTTAGCATTTCGGACCCGGTTCCAATCGCCCGAGCATCGATGGAACCACTCCTCAGGTGTTGCGCTGGCAACCATTGCGGAGAATAGCTTCGGCTTCAACCTGGCACAAATGGCGGGCTCCTTTTTGGTTAGAATTCAACACCTAAAACTTCCCAGCTCCCTGTTTCAACAGCCCGCTCACACCTGTGCTGCACTGGCGCAGGAGCGCCTTCTTCCACACAATATGTCGCCAGCTTGGACTCCGCGTTCGTCAAGATGATTGCGTCCAACTCCTGCCCACAAGCCTTTGCATGTCCTGTCAAGGATGATTTTCTCGTCTGGGTCAAAGGCGATGGCGAGGTAGCAAAGACAGCCACTTTGGCACCGTTCACAAGAGCACACATCAGCGACAAGCAGTGGAGGGCGTAAGGAAATTCTGCATGGGCTGCCCTAACAGCGTATGTTTGGCAGAAGCGGTGCCCAGCTTCTCCAAGGATGTAGCTTGGGTCGAAGCACTTGTCCACTTCATCCCACATCAAATTCATGGCAGGGATGTACTGTCTGTCTTCGTAGGCTCCAGACAAGGGCCCCAGAACTGACGACATGGCTTGGCCGCGCCACCGAGCTCAGAGCAGACGCGGCTGTCACGGCCATCATGCAAGGCTTTGTTGGAACACTTTAGTCAGACTTAGTCGAAGCTACGCAAAACAATTTGGTTTCAAAGCGAGGCATCTGCACATGCGCACTGACAGAGTCATGTACCGCGTGATATGTAGCCGTTTGAAGCAACAGGTCGATGCAATGAGCGGGTACGACACACCATGAATTTTCCATTCCACAGCTTCGATCCAGTCTATAAGGCACAGGCCGCGCTTGAAATCCTAAATCTTAACTTTAGACTGTCAGTCGGTCCCTTCCAACGCCGCAGAGCCGGCGACCTCCTCTGGTCTGTAGCCTCCTTGGAGTATAATTTCATTGTGGCTCCACGCCATATCGAGCAAGAAGAATTGGAAGCCGTGCTTGTTCATGTGCTTGGTTTGGTGTTTGTACTTGCTCAACCAGGTAAAAGTGAATTCACAGACCGAAGTCCGAATGCCTTGAAGAAGAGAAGCGTTTGCAGGCAAGGCTGGGTCGCACGTCTCTTTACACCAAGCATCGGTATGGCCAGCCATGTGGAACTTGTCGCACACGTACTTCATCTCTGGCGGGGCTATCTGGGCAGCAGCTTCTGAATCCTGCGCATGGGCAATATAAAACGTGAAACGCATTCACGCAAGAAACAACAGAACACTAGCACGGTGCTTATAGCTCTCACTGCCCAAAGAATTTCGTGGCTTTGTCGTCCCCTTTGAGTTTCCGTCCTGGGCGCGACGAGCCGCGTACTTGTGCAAATGGCAAGCATCATCGTGGACCGCCACGCAAAGGGACGGCAGGAGGGCTTTCACAGACGCCAGACATAGGTATCTCTGGCTCAACGACTCACAGCCGTAGATTTCTTGCATGTGCAAAATCAAACCCGCAGACAAACACGCGCACAACATTCCAGCAGATTTGGCAAGCTGCCTTTGAGCAGCGCTGCCTTCCTTGTGTGCGCAGCAAGTCACGCACTGCAAATCTGTTGGGTCTGACGAGCGTCCAATCTCTTGCAACGTTAAACTCGCAAGCATCGAAGGTCCAAGCGATGAGGAAGAGCCGCCTCTGCCGTCTGCCTCCTCTTCTCGCCGTGGGCGTTTGCTGGGTTTCAACTTCGCCTCGCCCACTTGCTGCAAATAGTTAGACAGGACAGATGCTGGAACTGCAGAATCGGATACCCAAGCTTCTCTTTGAGGCTCCACAGTCTCTTTCAGCAAGACCATCAAGCACAGTCTCTTTCAGCAAGACCATCAAGCACTGTCCGTCATTGATGAGCTTGTGCTGAAGAATGGTCACTTCCTGAGGCGGAGTGTGCTTCGCCCCCCCCGCCTGGAATTGATCATCTTGACTGCAATGGGCGGGACAGAAGCATCTTTCTCCGGCCAATGAGGCTCCGCAAACAGCTCGACGACTTTTTGCATTGCTGTCGAGCACAACAACGTCACAGCGCATCGTGGCTTTTTGGGCTTCCTCCAAGGTAGTCGTGCCAAATGCTCTTTGCAACTGCGGCAAGAATAAGCCAATCATGTCCTCCATGGGCCGCAAGAAATCAAAAGATGCTAGGTCCAAATTGCTTTGGCGCACCCGGGTGAGGAGACGCCAAGCAAACCACCCCTGGCTAATGAGAAGCCGCAATCGAGCTGTTGGTAAGAGATGGAGCTGGGAATTGTAAGCTGCCTGCGCGCCGAGCACATCTGCTTCACTTGTGAAAGACGCATGTTGCCTCACCATGCGTACGTGAAACTGTTGCAACCAGGGGACACTGAAGCCGAAGGTGGCGGACAACATGAAGCAGTTCAACTCAGGTAGCTCTCCTGCAAAATGATGGCACCCACTCCGCACGGTATAGTTGTACCACAGCAGCACACCAAAGTCTGGACAGGAGGATCGCCGACATCTCAGTGGAATGTGTTGTTTCTGGACCAAACCCGACAGATCTACGACGATAGCTGCAGCAGCGGAGCTCCGACATTCAGCAAGTCGTCCTCCGCACCCAGGGCAAGCAACAAGCTGCGGCACCAATTCTTGAGCTTTGCTTTCCCGGCCGAAAACAGCAACCCTTTGGTTGAAGAGCGGTTCTAATCTGGTCGCCAAATGATGGACTAGTTCTGGCGAAATTTGCGCAGCCGGGTCAGCGTCACAAATGGCTTGCGCAAGGACCCCATGGCACTGATGCTGTGGATTCGTCATTGCAGCTGCATGAAAAAAAGAAAATGCTAGATTGATGTTTGCTGATAGCAGGGTGGCTTGCGGGTCTCGCGCTTGCAATCGGCAACTTGCATACTTGCATGCTGGTTCAAAAGCAGAAGCACGGTAGATGTTTGCAAGTCATGTTTTCGACCGCGGTTGCAATCATGCGCTGATGAAAGAAATCAAGAGACAAGGCCAGCAGCTTGAGGATGAAAGAAGACGATGCAGCCAAGTGAAAAGGCTCATGCCATGGGCGACACAGGCAGCAAGCTGTTGGCAAAGCGATTGACTTCATTAGTACAGCCAGACGAAACTCCCACTGCGCCTCCAAATGCCACGCGGCGAAGCAGCAAGGCGAAGCCTGACCAAGGACGCATCCGGGCTGAAACAGTAGTAGCAGCAAAACCAACAAGAACAACAACCAAAACACCCATCACCACCACCATTATTATCTCCGCTGGTCCGCTGGCCTGTGGTGGCGCAGGCAAGGGTGGGAAGGGTGGGACTCTATGTCAAGTGCTGGCGCCCGCTGGTCCGCTTAGCCGCTATCCGCTGGTCGTTGCCTGCTCTGCTGGTCCGCTCGTCCGCTGGTCGCTGCTCCGCTGGTCCGCCGAAGCTGGTTCGCCAGCCTGCTGGTCCGCCGGTTCGCCGGTTTGCCGGTCCGCTGGTCCGCCGGTCCGCCGGTCCGCTGGTCCGCCGGTCCGCCGGTCCGCCCCGGTCCGCCCCGGTCCGCCCCGGTCCGCCCCGGTCCGCCGGTCCGCCGGTTCGCCGGTTCGCCGGTCCGCCGGTCCGCCGGTCCGCCGGTCCGCCGGTCCGCGGGTCCGCCGGTCCGCCGGTCGGCTTGGACGGTAAGGGGATCGTGAGTGGATGTTGGGGGCCTGAACAATGGCCCAGATGCACTTGAGGAAATGGTCGTTCCATTGATGCGGCGGTACCTGCTGGAAAACGAGCGGAAGTAGTCGAATCAAGGCGTCAATGGTGGTGTCCACAACAGGGCGGGGCAATTCCTCATCCACAGCTTGGATGATCTGGCGATGACTCCTCCTCGACAACAAACTCATGCGGAGAGCCATCTGAACCAGCATACTCTGTCTCACCACCTGAGCCATCCCAAGCCTGGAAGGTATGGTTGTGGATGTGTACCCGTGGGGACGATGTGAAGCCAAAAAGGTGTAGTGCAGATATGTTGCTGAGGACCAGAGCTGAGGCGGGTCTCGGCAAGGCCGCCCATCAGGTAGGCATAGAGTCCAGAGTCTTCCAAAATGCGCCAATGTGTGACGCGGGGTTCCCAGCGAATGTCCCAGGTCGGTGGATACACATTCGCCACCACGTGCATTCCAAGCGCATGAGAAGAGCTCGAGGCCTTGCTGCCTTTGCGGTCTTCATTGTTGCCCCACTTTCAGTATACAGGTTGGTGCCTTCGTAGTTGTCCGGCGGCCCGTCTGAGGAGCTGTCCGACATCGCCCCGGCTTCGGACAGAGACGCTGCCTTGAGCCAACAGACATCATTGTGTACATGATGTTTTCGCAATTAAAGACAATGGGCAAAATTCGACTGACCCCTCTGAGCGGCAGCTCACCTTCACCATCTGTCCCACTTGCCAGAAAGCATCTTGACCATGGAGGTAACTAATGACTAATGACTAATGGTTCACAGACCCTTTCAGTGGGAGCCCCACCGGCCCAGCATCCCACACAATCCTGAGTCAAGAATCTTCTCATGTGGAAGAGACTCTCTGTACTGGAACCGAATAGCGCCATCGTCCATGACGTCCTTCTGGTAAACATGAAGAAAAGAAGCTTTGCGGAGCAGCGGCTTCTTCTGCCAGTCCAACTTCTTTAGGATGCTCAGGATAGACGATCCTTTCCCATTGGCCGAATAGCGGACGTCAAAGAAATCCCTCCTCTCTACCGGCAAAGACAGGAAAAGCAAAGCCTGGACTTTCAGCACGGAAGGCTGGACGACCGACATAGCGCTGCCATCGAAGGATCTCCCAAACCCTTTTGCTATGTAGACTCTATGTGATTCTTCAAAACACACCTGGCTGCCCATGCAACGGCTTTTTTCAACCCAATTGGTGGGGACGATAGGGTTTATACATCTTCTCCAGAGTCCGGACCAGCGAACCAACGACGTGACGGTTGAACGGTCTACCGGCTCCAGGCTCCGAGCGAAGGGCCCCTGGGAGTCCGGTTCCGACTCCAAGCGTTTCGACTGAACGAGGGCCCCTGGTTCCGTACGAATCCGTGGTTTGCCTGCTGGGATCCTATGCCAATCCATGCCAGTCCCATGAGTCCGTCCTTGGCATCGGTCTGAAACTTGGCAGGGACCCCCGGCGCATGCTGCATCTGCTGCATCTGCTGCATCTGCTGCATCTGCGCGGAGTTGTGGGAATCTGTGGGAGTCCGTTTTCCACCGTTGACTCTTTGGAACCTTAAGTACAGTCTAAGTGAGGAGTAGGTGCCGACAAGATAGGGTGGCATTTCCAGATCACTTCATAATCGATTCTTGGAAAATGTAGCCGGTCCATGGCCATCGATAGCCATTAAATGTCATCAGACACGGTTGCAGTTCTCAGTGTGACCATGTTGTTGATGAACATTTGCCCATCCTGAACCTGGAACACGCTCTTTCTCCTGGTGCAGAAACGAAACTGCATAGAAAGCACCTCGGTCAAAACATCAATTACATCAATTATAAGATTGGGTATATATATACTAATAACAACTAATTCACGACCTCCGTGTCGCTTTTCCCGTGTCGTCCGGAATCTCTAGCGTCCATGGAACAAAAAAAACATTCCCAAACCCATGCCACCCCCGGTATATCCTCCGACTAACTGGTGCAGGATGTTTTCGAAACTACCTGGCTGAGGGTTTCCCACGGCCAGGTCGCACAAGTTCATCTTGAAACAAACCCATCTGTTCACCACCCTCTCTTGTCCTTCCTCTCGGGTGTCCCACCTGCATCTCCATTTGCCGCTGCTCTTCCAACCTGTCCGAGGGCCAAGCCACCGATGGGTCTGAATACAATCAGAATTGGCATCGGAAACCTGAATCTTCCCACAACCCTGCAATCATTGGTCAATGCGGAGTGATAACCCTGCATTTTAAAGGCAAAGGATCCACATTTTTTGTTGTGGCATGCTAGTGGAGTATATGGAGTTATACGGAGTGTGATCCTCCTTGCAGTGAGCTTTTCTCAGAATGAAACGATCTAAATAGTTCTGATGGATCCTACATGTCATTCTTGAAATTCATCGTGCGTCAGCGGTATGCTTCCAAAAACATTGAAACCTTCACAAAAGGTTGTGTTTTTTAATTTCTAGTTTCATGCTTGAAGTTGGCACGTTGCTGGGAGTATCGATCATACTCTATACTTTATAGTCTGTCTCAGCCTGCATCCAAGTCGCCACTGCTCATATCACCCTGTGATCCCTGATGAGATCTTGGTTTTAAAAAACACATTTCAGCACTGGTTCGCACACTGCATAGTAGAGTCGTGGTCATGGCCCATGAAATATTCATGTTAATTCAAGTCCGGTTGTTAAACCTGTTGAACTCCGATTCACAAGTAGAAGTCGTGGTTGCCCACCTACTCGTTGGGAAGAAGCCCCGCACCTATATATGGACTAAGGAAATGTGGCATACCACGACTCGACTGTGTGATATATATCATCCTTTCGGATGAAGATTATGTGGCAGTGCTCAAGTTGACAAGAGACCTCTTGTATTAGCTTCCTTTTGAAGATTTCAAGGGTTGATGCTTTGCGTGTGGATCCACTGGCAAGACGATGGCATCCAGTGGTAAAGTTCCCTGAAAAATGGTTACAATGGTTTCAGAGTAGATGGCACAAACCCCCAATGCACGTCCTCCAACCACCTTTTGGGGACTGCATCTTTCTGAAAGGATCATGAGACCATCGGTCAAATCCAAATCTGCAAATGACTATAAGTTGAAGTTGCACGTGCTTCGGGGGACGTCAGAAAAAAAGGTCTCTTATTAAGGACCACCCAAAAAACATGAAAAAAGCGACCCTCTCGCCACGCGGCACGGGCGGCACTCCTCACCTCTGCAGCTCGGGATACCTTGGGCGCCGAGCCCGAACGAAAAGGGTCACCGGTCGCCGCCGCCGAACGCGGTCCGACCGGTGGGCAGGTGTTGGACACTCCATGGGACTGGAATAGGACTACCGCCCCAGACAGACACCCCCCTGGCACCACCCCTGGCCGTTTTGAAGGCAGTCCGGACTGGCAGTCAGATGGGTCGTGTATGGAACAGGCCTGCGAACACTGGAAAAAGCCAGAAACGAGGCTGATTCCACCCTATATCATGTTGTGAAGCTTTGCTTGGGCGACCCAGGTTAGTGTAAAGACATGATGCGTAAACAAAACCCAGGAGGTCGGAAGCTTTGGGTTTGGGATCCAAATAATATAGATTCTTCTCCCAGATCAAATGATGCCTCCCCAAACTAAATCTTTTAATCTCTTCTTTAGAAAGCATGAGTGGGCCTCCTGCTTGGAGGAGGCATTTGCTGCACATATCCACCCATTTGGCCAGAGTCTCACTGAATATGGGCAACCTGCCCATTCAGGCATAAACGAACAACGAACCAGCAGTGAGAAATGCTGCTCAGAAGCACTCTACTTTGGGTTGAGATCCAGGCGTTGCTTGGACAGAACAAAAATGTCCAAACTACAATGGCCAGCATCAACTAGCTCCGAGACTTCCGATTCCAGGCTTCTGAATGGATGTGTTGTTCGGCTCCTGCATGGGCGACTTTTTTCAGCGGCTGCATTGGTGTTTTGGGTTCCGGACACCCCACGCCTCGGAAACAGGCAAGCAAAGAAACACGCCCAACGATCTAACCAATCAAACAAACCAGCAGTCAACCAACCAACAAACGACGAAAGAATCAAAATAACACTGCCAACAAGGAAGCAAACAAGCAAGCAAAGCAAAGCCAAGCAAAGCAAAACCAAACCAGCAAACTGTTTGAT